GTGCTTTAACACTCTCTCACCAAAACAATACACGGCATCACCCTTCGTGCTTTAACACTCTTCACCCAAACAACAATCACAACAATAGGGCAAGAGAATAAATGCAATTACAATAAGAATCCCGGCGAGGGAACAATAGTTCAACAATCAAGTCCCAACAAGGGTGCAACATCAAAACAAAACATAAACATCCCGACAAGGGAGATAGCATTAAAATCAACAATATCTCGGCAAGGGAGGCAACATAATGATTCTCTTCTCTTCCTCACTTTTCCTTCACAATTCACTTTTACACTTGAGCCAATGCTTTAAAAGGGTCAATTACCACTTATACTTTCACATTTCATTATACAACTTGAGCCAACGCTCCTCAATGTTCAAATGTCACAATTACTTCCACAAACTTTGTCCAACAATAGAAATCATCATCAAAGCATGAAAAATACAACGAAGTCATAATAATAACAATATAAGATTCACGGGCATGCTTGACACCAACGTATAAATACTCGTCACCATGCCTATACGTCGTACTCAACAAATACCACATAGCAAATAGGACTCGACTCCTAATCCCTCAAGCTAAGGTTAGACCAAACACTTACCTCGATGCCATAAACACAATTCAAGTCTCTACTATCGCTTTACCTCTTGATTCCACCACCAATTCGCTCGTATCTAGCCACAAATTACTTAATTACATCAATAAACGCTAAATGAATCAATTCTAATGCATGAAAATAAGTTTTTTAAAGTTTTACCCAAAAAGTCAAAAATTGTCCCCGGGCCCACATGGTCAAAACCCGAGGTTCGAACCAAAACCCGATTATCCATTCCCCACGAACTCAAATATATAATTGTTTTGAAATCGGACCTCAAATCGAGGTCCAAATCCCCAATTTTTTGAAAAACCTAGGTTCTACCGAAAACGCCCAATTTCCCCATGAAAATCATTGATTTTGAGTTGAAATCATGTGAAAAGATGTTAATGATTGAAGGAAACGAGTTAAAATTGACTTACAATCGATTTGGAAGAAGAGTTGTCTTTGAAAATCGCCCAAGAGTGTTTTGGTTTTGAAAGAGCGTGAAAAATGAAAGATTTTCGGCTAAGTTATAAAATTGCAGGTTGCAGATGTCGCAATTGCGACCAGGGTTCGCAACCTGCAAATGTCACAATTGCGACCAGGGTTTGCAATTGCAAACCTAGACTTCTGCTACCTTCGCATTTGCGAACATGGGTTTGCATTTGCGAACCCTGAGGAAAACCAAGCCTCTTCGCATTTGCGATGTCGCATTTGCGACCATTTCTTTGCATTTGCGAATAAGGCAGCCTATGCCACTTCTCGCATTTACGATACAATGCTCGCATTTGCGAGCCTGCAGGCCTGCAACATACCAGCAAATTCCCAAGTGAAATTTTCACTCCGTGGCCTATCCAGAACTCACCCGAGGCCTCGGGGCTCCAAACCAAACTTGCACACCAATCTAAAAACATCGTACGGACTCGCTCATCCATTTAAATCACCAAAATAACATCAACAACTATGAATTTAGCATCAAAATCATGAAATTTCTTAAGAATTTCAAATTTTTCCAAATTTCTCAAATACGATCCGATTCACGTCATTTCAAATCCGTTTCTTACCAAATTTCACAGACTTATTTTAAATCACATATACGACCTGTACCGGGCGCCAGAACCAAAATACGAACCCGATACCATCAAGTTTTAAACACATTTCATTTCCAAAACACATAAATAATTCCAGAAAATAATTTTCTTTAAAAAATTCATTTCTCGGGCTTGGGACCTCGGAATCCGATTCTGGGCATACGCCCAAGTCCCATATTTTCCTACGGACCCTCCGGCACCGTCAAATCACGTGTCCGGGTCCGTTTACCCAAAATGTTTACCGAAGTCAACTTAAATCCATTTTAAAGTCAAAATTCATCATTTTTCATAGATTTTCACATAATGGCTTTTCGGCTACGCGCCCGGACTGCGCACGCAAATCGAGGTGATGCCGAAAGAGGTTTTTGAGGCCTCGAAACGCAGAATTTACTTTTAAAACAAGTGATGACCTTTTGGGTCATCACATGGTATTGCATAATTATTCTAATTATATTGTTTGTCTTCAGTTTGACAGCTGTTAATTCCCTTCTGGAGAAGTATGCTGTTGATCCAAAGCAAGTTGGTAGACTGGAAGTTGGAAGTGAGACTGTTATCGATAAAAGCAAATCCATCAAGACGTTCCTGATGCAAATATTTGAGGTAATTCTAAGTTCCTAGTGAGCATTGGTTTAGTAAATTGAATGACCTCCTCTTTCCCATTTTATGTTATGGTGCAGTTCAAGCTGTGTCTAATCTCCTAATTCTGTGATATGGTATAAGAATGACCTCCTCTGACCGAAGTAAATGAAAACTTAACTACTTGTCTCCTCCTCGGTTACTGCACCAGCACAAAGATGCGCAGCCAAAGAGATATGATATTTCTCAATTCACTTAAAGGTGCATGAAGTATGTTTTAATCTTATTTAGGGGCCAAATCTGCTTATTCCATGCAGCTCTTTTCTAATCCATAATGAGTTTCCTTACTTTTCAACCACTGTTCTTAGTGAAATTGCCTTGATTGTTCGGTTGCATCAGCTATGTTGTTTGTCTTTCTTAAATTCTACTTCACCTATTAAAGCTTTATGTTTTAGTATCTCATAATTTAATTGTAATGTATCTTGTTTCCTGGCCATGTGAAACATACAGAAATGTGGGAATACTGACATTGAAGGAGTTGACTCAACTAATGCATGCTATGGTGGAACTGCTGCATTGTTCAACTGTGTGAATTGGGTGGAGAGCTCTTCATGGGATGGACGTTATGGACTTGTTGTATGCACAGATAGTGCGGTAATGATCATCACCTATAAACATTCTATAGTATCTGTATTGTCTAATAGACTTTGAATTTACATTCTTTATTTGGCATGTAGCTAGAAATAGACTGGGACCTCTACGTTGCAATTATGTGGTTATATTGAATCATCTTCCATTTAATGTGATTCTTGGCTATACCTGTAAAATTTATGTAATGTTCTTCCTTAAGATCTCACCTGGTGGGAACATACTGGGTTGTTGTTGTTGTTGTTTAAGATGAATCCTATTCACTTATTGGATGTTTTTTATAGGTCTATGCTGAAGGACCTGCTAGGCCAACTGGAGGAGCTGCTGCCATTGCTATGCTAATTGGGCCTAATGCCCCTATTGTTTTTGAAAGCAAGATCAGGGCTAGCCATATGGCTCATGTCTATGATTTTTACAAGCCTATCCTAGACAGTGAATATCCAGTAATTCCCTCTAATCCTTGCATGCCTGATTAATTATCTGTTTTCACAGACATGCGTTGCTCTTTTTTTTTCCCCCAATTTAGACTCACATGGCCTTAAAATTATTTTTAAGGTGGAAAAACGCTCATTCTTACGATAAATTTCTTCTGTACTTCTTTTTGTCAATAGAATCTCAAGTGGCTTCTAAATCGTTCTTTTAGGTGGAAAAGCACTCGTTCTCATAAAATAAATTTCCTTTCTATTTTGTTTTACATGTTCGAGCTATATCATTTGCTAGTTTTAGCTTTGTGCCTCTTTCTTTTCTTGCTTTCCTTATTTCTTTCTTAAGTTTCTAGTTCATCTGGTAATTCTAAGTAATTCTCTAATGTTTCTTTAAAAGCTGTAGCTTACAGATTCTAAATAGAAGGATGGTTTACTTGGTTAACACTGGAAAAAGTAGGATTGATGATTAATTTGTATAAAACCTTCTTTTATATCTCTTTTTTGTTCCCCCTGTGAGGTGTGATGAAAATTGTTGACTGCAGGTGGTTGATGGCAAGCTTTCACAAACTTGTTATCTCATGGCACTTGATGCTTGCTACAAGAGCTTATGCAACAAGTAAGCTGCTCGGTGGAAACATTCTCCTATTTGGAAATCAATCTCTTGATTATCTTGTATTAATTGCTTTGCTGTGTTTCATATTCTAGATATGAGAAATTGGAAGGCAAGCAGTTTTCGATTGCTGATGCAGCCTACTTTGTGTTCCATTCACCGTACAACAAGGTAGTTTATAGAGTCGATTGTTGATTGATGACTTTATTTGTACTTTTTTATCTGAAATTTTATTGACACTTGAATGTTTTGTTTAAATCCTGCAGCTTGTACAAAAGAGCTTTGCTCGGTTGCTTTTCAATGACTTTTTGAGGAATGCTTGGTGGGTTGCAAGTTTCTCTTTCAGAGGATTTTTCTTTTTGTCATCTAAAAGGAATTTTGTTGACTAAGAACTTTTGGTTTCCATTTTCAGCTCTATCGATAAATCTGCCAAAGAAAAGCTTGCACCATTTTTGTCCCTAAGTGGTGATGAAAGCTACCAAAGCCGTGATCTTGAGAAGGTTTACTCTTGAATTTTACACTCTTTCTTCTTCGAAAGACATTCTCGTTCATTTTTTTAAACACTAAAAATGAAATCTTAAGTAGGATAAATTGCTTTCAGAGCTATGTGCATTGTGATTGGAACTAACAGCGGTTTATTTTAACCATGTACAGACATCCCAGCAAGTTGCAAAACCATTTTACAATGAGAAGGTGCAACCTACCACATTAATACCAAAACAAGTTGGCAACATGTACACTGCTTCTCTATATGCTGCTTTTGCATCACTCCTTCACAATAAGCACAACACGTTGGTAATCAGGAGTTACTTTTCCCCTTTTGGTCCCGTTGTTTGTTAGTACTATTATCAACCTGCTTGTTCTAGTTTCTGAATGATTTTGTTGTTACCTCAGGCTGGACAGCGGGTAATGTTGTTCTCCTATGGTAGTGGATCAACTGCAACAATGTTCTCACTCAAGCTTAATGAAGGTCAACATCCTTTTAGCTTGTCAAACATTGCAAGCGCGATGAATGTTGCAGAGAAGTTGAAATCAAGACACGAGGTATGTGCTATTTTCATCTATACATATAATATGCAGACTTCGACAATGTTACCAACTCTACCGAAGCTAGAAGACCAAAAAATTGATACATTTGTAGCTTGCAAATCTTTTTCATATCCATGTCTATCTTTTCAACATAACCATCCCTGATGTTGATCTTTTATGACAGTTGGTTCCTGAAAAATTCGTCGAAATAATGCAACTAATGGAGCATAGATATGGGGCCAAGGATTTCGTCACAAGCAAAGATTGTAGTCTTCTAGCTCCAGGAACTTACTACCTCACAGAGGTTGATTCCAAGTACAGAAGATTCTATGCCAAGAAAGCTTCTGAGAATGGACTGGTGAATGGTCACTGAAGATAGTCCCAGCACCTAAGTGTAACGCCACAAATTTGCTTGTGCTCTTTTAGTTGTCAGTATAGGGAATAATGTTCTAGTAAAGTTGTTTCTATTTATATAGTGTCTTTTGCTGAGTAGCTTCAATGCTTTTCTTTTTGTATTTCATTTTTTTTCCAATTAAAGTGTAAACTAATTCAATGTTTATTGTGTTTTGTCTTAGAGATTACTGTAGATGATTGACAAATCATCAATGTAATCTTGATCGAAATTCATTGAGTAGATTTTCTGACCTTTGCACTCATAATCTTATTTGTTTGTGAAATAATCAAAGCAGGTCTGGTCTATCCCTCATGTTGTTGTAAATTCACAGTCAGCATTTTTAATGTAAATAGGAAAATAATATTACAAGATTTATTGCAAAGCAGCAGTAAGAAAAGTAGGAAATATTTTAGCATTGAACATGCAGATGACAAGTTGTCTCTCGCGGAACCAACCACTGAGATTTAGTTTTCTCTCCATTGGTGGACAACCACATTCTTCCCTAAGTTTACAATTCTTTTATTTTTTTCTTAAAGCAATCCTATACAAAAGAATTCTGAATCTCCTCTACTCACATCTCAGTGCATTGGCGCATTGCCATACTTTACATGAAGCACAGGTGACTGTAACTGGACGAGAGACGTTCGAACCAAATATTTCTTGCAATTTGCAAATATGTCCATTCAAGGTTAGGGGACTTTGCAATCAATCAAATGATAAACGTCCTAGTGATACGGTAAAGATTCGCAAGTTCGATAATTTTTCCTCATGAATATGCTATCACCTCTTGACAAAACATCCAAAATTCATGGTAGATAGAGTTTTTAGGGTACATAAACACGTAATTCACACAAACGAACAATCAATTACACAATTACAACTATCGGTTTCGTAAATAAGAAAATACAATAAATTGAAGAAAAAAAGTCTTGCACAAATCTCTCCAGGAAGTTTTAATCAGTCATAAGTTCGCTTAAAGCCATACTCGAACTATTTGTTTATAGAACGTAGAAAAGCAATGCCCAGATTGGATATACCAAGAGGAGATCCCAATCGTGTTTGAAATGCCATTGGCTTTAGTGAAAGAATTCCTAAATCCTCCAGATCAGAGGCGGACGGACCTAGGATTTGGAGGCAACGAGCATTACTATCTTAACAGTCATGAAGCATGCCAATTACTAGCTACAATTGGGCGTGCAACTCTCTTGAAACTTGATGATTATGCTTGTTAGTTTGAGTGCCTCCCTGAATTACTAAAGGACTTGGTTCTTTGCCTTACTTCTTAGGCGTTGATAACGCCCAACTATGCCTTTTAAAGGATAAAGCGGTCGCTGCAAATATAATTCGGTTTTAAATCCGGAATCGAATCCTCAGGGAACTAACCTATCTATTACACTCTTCGGCAATGTTATAATCAACTCAATCAATCTCTAGATGCAAGATTTTTTGATCAATAAAGATTGAGTTTTTGTTTAACTACTTCAACTACTATTAAAACAACAGTAAGCTAAAACAAAGATAATTCAATGGTAAAAAGGTCTAGGGCAGTGATTTCCCCAATTGCTAGTTTAGTTTTGACTCTTCCGCTATAATCTCGCCGTAATACTCTATGAGGATTAAGAGTTATGGGTTATCGTAATTATCTCTCGATCAACTACAATAATTTACTAGAGCATTCTCTCGAACTACTCTAGCTGACAATAGTTATGCAACTCTAAATTATCCCACCAAAGTTTTGTTATCTCTAAACCCACTTTTAAGTTCAAGTAATGAATCTCTTCAATTACCCAAAAGTGGTGTTGTTCAACAGCTATCTAACCTAATATTCTTTCTCAAGCAATATAAGGTAATTAGACACGATTAATCAAGAGCCCATTCAATTAATCACCATACAAAACGTAGTTGAACAATCATATCATAAATCCGGCTCGATTATAATAACTTGAGTCAAAACTTCAACCAACAATTGGTTATATCAACCCTAGATAAGTATTTAGCTACTCATAATAAAATAAGAGAAAACTACTAAATTGTTCATAATGTAAAATTGCAAGAATTAAAAGGAGATAGAAAAACTCTAATGTTTGGTTGATCTTCTCAATCTTGTTCTTGCCTCCAAAAGTAGTCTAAAATCAGCTTAGCACAATCTTGAGCGAGTTTCTAAAGCATATAAGGGTTTTACAAAAGTTTCCCCGATTTTACACTTTGGTCCTCAAACTTTCCAGCAGCGTGAACAGTGCACCGCGGTCGACCGCGGTGAATGCTGGCCTTTCTGCCTTACATTGTTAATCTACCGCGGTGCCACCGCGGTCGCGGTGGCCTTCTTGCCCAGGCCATTTATGCTTCTTTGTGTTCGAGTACTTCTCGAGTGGGTGTTTTTCTTTACATATCGCCTCCAAAATACTCCATGTTGCTTTCTCTCATATAATATTCCCTGCTAAACAAAAGAATACTATTTAGAGCATTTTGTTAGCAATTTATCTGTAAAACAACAGCAAAGTATGGTCATATTAAGGTGTAAATATCAACTATATAGCCTACTATCAACACCCCACACTTAAATCATTGCTAGTCCTCGAGCAATCCACCACACTCCATCAAAATTCCTTCCCTAAGCTTTTCCCTTACGACTCACACCATGAACATTTTACAAAAGTTGTACCTAGTAGTGAACAACCTTTACCTCAAGAGTCAATCCTTTTATGCCATGCAACATCAACACTTACTCAAACCACTCTATACAAGAGTCAAGACTTACCTTTCCTTTGTGTATCACATGCCCTCACATCACACAAGAGAGTAGTTCCACATATGATGATAATTAGAACAAGTAGGAACTAAGATAGACAAAATTCGCTCACTCTCAAAAAGAACATTCACATGCCACAAAGATGCACCATAAGCTTGCCCATAGTGTAATACTCTACTAATTGAGCTCACTCAGTCTAAGATCAATAGGACTTTATTTGGTTGTAATGTAGGCTAAGGGACGGGTAGGATATATTTAGATATAGTGACTAACATACCTAAGCACTTTTAATACAAGTACATTAGACTTAAAGATTATAGTTGTGCCAACCAAACACTCCACCACATTCATTTAAAACATCCTCATTCATTAGGTGCAATTTGTACAAGCCACCACTTATCAACCACTATAACTATATATATATATTTTTCGTGGTGTTTTTTTTTCTTTTATGATTCAAAATTCAACACTTTTTCTCTATCTCAATGGTTCCACTCAAAAACCAAACCACCATCCCACACTTTTGCTTTTGCATAATTTTACTACCATTCAAGTGCTTATTGGGAGGTAAACGGGTTCAAACAGCAGGCTATTCAAATAATTGGGTAAGGTTCGCAATGTGGTTGCCAAAGAAATAGGCTTATAGGCTCAACGGGGTTAACTACGATGTATTGCATTCAGGTGGGTTTACTTTATATGTCTGGCTCAATAAAGAAATGCCTATATCACTTCTAAAACTTAAAGAAACTACTATTTCGCTTTGCAAACACACATGGCAAGTTCTAGGCATCAAATATGAACATGGAACACAGTAAAACTTACACTCACATGGCACATGACTCACTCCAGATTGGTTTATCAAGACATTCTCTTTTGAGTGTTCAAGTTAGATACAAACGTACAATTTTAAGGCACTCTAACAGGATTCAACCAATGAAGCTAGACGTTATACTCTAGTGTCTATTGTGCTCAGGTGTATTAACGCTAAGGGTTTTCCTTCGAATTTAGCTCGTAGCCAATTAGTCCTACTCTAAAAACTAAAAAGAACAAAAATAAATAAAAACTACCTATACCCGGTTCAAGCTAAACCCTTGGAAAAGAACCATGACCCAAAGAAAAACCAAGGGGGAGTTACTACACTACCTAAAAATAAAATAAAATAAAATATTTTTGGTCTTTTCTCTAGACTAACTTCCCTCAAGAAAATTATCTAAAGGATCCGTCATCGGGAAGAGTCTCCATATTCCAATTTTTTTTCTCGACTTAGTCCCTCAAGAACCCCGCCGAATGAAATCTGTCGTCGGGACACGTCACTTACTATTTTAACTTTCCTAATGAACTATTACTCTAATATCAAAACAATCAAAGAAAGACAAAACAAACAAAATCAAACAGTCAATTATTACAATTACAAACATACAATGAAGTATCCCCACCCCACACTTAAAATGAAGACATGTCCCCATGGCTTAAAAATTTAAAGAACAGTGAGGTTAAGGAACTTCCCTAAAGGCTCACTCCTGATCGGAGACAATGTCTGGGTTCACGTTGCACTCACGTCCCAGAGATCTCAACCAGCCCAAGAATTTCTTCTCTGACTTCACTTGCCTCTCAGCCACCGCATCAACATGGGCACCCAAATCATTGACTGAGGTACGCAACCCAGCCATATCCTACTCCAAAGCTATCATACGGGTGCTCCGGTGTGGCTGTGATGGGTCTGCCACATCAACTCTCGGAGGAGGGGGAACCGCAACTACCTCAGCATCATCATCATCCTCATCAGTTGAATCATCATCAGAGTCAGCAACATTCACCATCGGCTCTCGTCCAATTCCATTCTTTTTTGCCCGGAACGGGGCTTTCAGTGGCAATCTCCCATCAACCCGAGGGTCTTCAGGGACTCTAGCAATACGGCATAGCCAGGTGATCAACGAAGGGAAGTAGTGGCCTTTGATTAGATCAGGTGATCGGATGAACATCTCTTCATGGATGAGCTGGGCCACATCAAAATCACTATGGGACATGAAACAGTGTATTGCCGACGCCCGTGGTAGATTAACATCTGTCGTGTTGCTGGATGGCAACAATCGACTGTTGGCAACGGTGAGCCAACACTTAGCCTCCCAATTCAAACAGTGGGAGTTAAGTGTAATTCTGGGTGTGATCCATATGGGTTCTCCGTCCGGCACATAGATAGTATCAAAAAGAGTTCCCCACAAGAACCGTGTACCGCTGAAAGTACGATAATTATCAACTTCACCCCTGAACACTGGTATCCTGTATACCCTGCGGATGGTGTCGAGGGATGTATTTACCGGGGTATTGTGCACTGTCACAACCCCATTCTCATGTTCTGGCAAGTTCGCATAGAACTCCCTTACTAGCTGAACATTAGCCTCATCCGATACCTCAAAGAAGATGTCCAGCTGACACCGCCTCAGCTCATTAAACATATTGGGGCATTCCACCTCCAAAGCCGTGCGATCAATGTACACCTCATGTTGTAACTT